TTTCGGAACTTATAATTCTTACGCGCCTAATTAAAATCGCGCTGCAGCGTCGTCACGAATGACACTCTATCGACTTAAAAATTACAAGGCGACGTCAGGATAAATGCGAGGGCATAGGATATCGCATTAGAAATCAAAAATTTTTAATTTTCGAAACTTGCGATTTTTTTGCGCCAACTTAAAGTGGATGCATCGTCGCCAGTACTCTAGCGAATCAAGAATTGCGAGACATCGTTCGATTTCGTGCCTGGGAATAGGCAATCGTGTCCGAACTGCAAAATTTTAATTTTTCTGCACTTGTCAATGTCTCGCGCGGAATCTTAAAATGTGCTGAATCTTCGTCAATAAGCGATTGTGGAAGCACTGAAATCTTAGCTTTCCTACGAGATCAAGATCATCTTGCTATGATATTTCTGTGCGAAGATATTGATGATTATATTGCCTCGTGATCTCTCTCTCTCTCTCTCTCTCTCTTTCTCTCTCTCGATCTCGGTATAGAATTAATTTTATTTCCATAATTCATTAACGATATCGCACAAACTAAGGATCCGTGATAAACGATTCTTATCTGGTTAGAAGCCCTGAAATCTTAGCTTTTCAACAAGACCAGGTACATCTTGCTACGATTATTCTGTGCGAAGAAATTGACGATTATATCGAGTCCTGATCTCGATCTTGGGACAAAAGTAATTTTATTTCAAGAATTAATTAACGATATTTCATAAACTATTGATCCGAGATAAACGATTCTTATCTCGATGGAAGCGCAGAAATCTTAGCTTTCCAACGAGACCAGGTTCATCTCGCTATGATTTTTCTGTGCGAAGAAATTGACGATTATATCGACTCGCGATCACACACACATAATCCCGAGACAAGCAGCAGACTGCTCGTATATGCGGCGTCTCGCGCGGCGTCTGGCGCGGCGGTGTTTACTTTCGAACACCTGTGCCTTGTATGTTTTGAAGTCAGTTTTTTGATGCTCGCGTACTACTCGCGTAAAAACTCGCGCTACATTCTCAGAAGAATGGTGCCCGCGCGCCCCATTTTTACAAGGCTATATCTTGGCGAAAAATCGACGTAGCGAGATGAACCAAAAACCAATCTTCTTCGTTTCGCATCCCGCAGATGTCTACTTGAATATGTATGCCCTTATCATAAAATGTGTGTCAGGGCATAGGAAATCGCGTTTAAACTACGAAATTTTTTATTTTTGGGACTTGCAATTTTTTGCACCAACATTAAAGTTGCTGCATCGTCGAAGATAATGAGACTTTAGCGAATTAAAACTTACGAGACATTGATAGATTTCGTGCAGGGGCATAGGAAATCGCGTTAGAACTACAAAATTTTTAATTCTTAGGACTTGCGGTCTTTTTGCGCCAACATTAAAGTTGACGTATCGACGTCAGTAATAACGCTAGCGATTCAAGAATTGCGAGACATCGTTAGATTTCTTGCCTGGGAATACGCAATCGTGTCCAAACTGCAATATTTTTAATTTTCAGGACTTGCGATTTTTATGCACCAATATTAAAGCTGTGCTGCATCGTCGTCAATAATGAGACTCTATCGAATTAAAACGATACATTAATAGATTTCGTGCATGGGCGTAGGAAATTGTGTTTAAACTACGAAATTTTCAATTTTTGGGACTTTCGATCTTTTTGCGCCAACCTTAAAGTGGATGGATCGTCGTGAGTAATGACTCTAGCGAATCAAGAATTATGATACAACGATCGAATTCGGGCCTGGGAATAGCAAAATCGTTTGCGAATTGTAATATTTTTAATTTTCGGGACTTGCGATCTTTTTGCGCCAAGTTATAAAAGTGTAAAAACTTAATTTTATCGCAAACAAAAGAGGACCGCCGATAAAAATTTGGCGGGGGCGGCGGAGGGCCTCTTTAGATTAACTTTTCTATTGTATGAAATTTTAAGTTGGTCTAAAATAATCTTTTATGCGATAGATTTTCGTTTGCGCATTTACAGTACGATTTTTGTTACACATTTATATAGTGGTACTGGTTTTATCGGATAACTATTGGTTACAGTAGTTAAATCCGAATCGGTGAACCCTCCGATCTTTTTGAAGCGACACTATTTTTTGTATTTTTGAACGCTGATTACGAATATGAGAATAAAAATTTGCGACAAGGTCATTTTCAAGGTCAAAACTAAAAAACTGAAGAAATATAACTTTAATTTTATAAACCTGTTGATTATTTATTAATTTTGTACGATATATAATTTATGTACGACTGTTTTGTTCTTCGTGTGTTTTTTTCAGATTCTTGCATGGTATCGTCTCCTCCTGACGCTCTCTTTTGGCCGGTCCTTGTACGCTGTTCGCGTATAGTGTTTGTTGGTGTCGGTACGACAGGTATCCTAACCTCACAACTGTCAGATTTTAACAATTTTTAACTCTCTTAGTAGTGCCGAGCGACAATTTTAACTTGCAAATTCGTGTTTTACAGGCAAAAATACACGATCCTATGAATTTTCATGAAAAACGGAGAATGAGAGACTCCTTCAGTATTACCTGAAGACTTTATCGACAGTGCTTGAAAATGGGCGTAGCGGAGTAGTTTCAAAAATAAAAGTGGGCGTAAAGCGCTGGAAACTGCTTAGCGAAATGGTAACAAGTAAAACACCAGAGTGGCCGCTCTCAGGTTTCTCTCTGGTTTCACTGACTTGACGCCATTTGTCGTGTTGAGGTTCACGTTCATTCACGGTTACCGTTGACACGCTCGTTCCGCGAACGCGCCTTCAACTTTGGTCCCACGCGAAAATGAAGGTCGTCTGCATCATCTGTCACGATTCGCTGCTGTCGCCCGAGAGCAACGAGGAGTCCGGGGACATCGTTTTCACCCTTTGCGGCCATGTGTTCCATCACCGCTGCCTGTTGCAGTGGCTCGAGATGTAAACACGGGCTAGGTTAAGGTTTCCGCGCGTATCCGTCCGTCTGCCTCTTTCCAGGCCCGCAGCGCGTGTCCCGTTGCGTCTTGACCCTAGAACGGTGCGCATTTCGTCTCTACCCTCGCTACGGTACGGACGTTGGTTTCTTCTCGGCCCTGCCTCCTGCCGAAGACCAATATGGAGCTCGTCCGCCATGGGTCTTTGGTGTCGGATGCGATAGTTTCAATTGAGGGAGTTTTCGATCGTACAATGCTTGGCGTTTTCACGCTCGAGCCCCTGCTCGGCGTCCCAAGTGCAGCTTACGGCGGTACGGACGAGCGTGGTACCCAGTTGACGGGACGTGCCGTAATTCTGGCTTGCAATCCTGGATTTTCTTTGGTAACCAGTGAGTTGTATACGCCAGACTGTAAGCCGCACGTAGAAATTTGGAAAACGTGAATTTATGCCCGGTTAACGAATTGCGATCTGTAAAAGGAACGGCGTGTCGAAAAAATAGTCGAAATGCTCTGGGCACGTGTGACCAAGGCCGTCCGAAGGGGGGGGGGGGATCAGCAAAAAATTTAGCCTATTTGGCATACCTTGTCGCGGTGAGAAAGCTATTGCCAAAAGGTGTACATATATGTATATACACCTTTATATATGTATATATATATTTGAAATCATATAAGTATTCTGGAAGTAATATTTTAACAATATAAATGATACCCCCCCCCTGGCAAAAATTATACGGACGCCCTTGCGTGTGACCCAGTGTACTGTTCTAGGGTCAAGAAAAATGCGGATAAGGCAAATCTGTTATTTCGCTGTGAGATTTCCACTTTAGTTTTTAAAGCAGATGAAATCGATTGGACATTCATTAATCCTGCACGTGCTTGTTCTGCAGATCGAAAACCTGCCCGCAGTGTCGTAAGAGAACGACGGAGAATTTAATCCAAAATGCTCACTTCACGTTTGCGGCCACCGAGAGCGACAATGTAGATAACGCGGACATTATGACCTTGCAAGGGAGTATCGACAGTCTGCGATATAAAGTCTTGCTGGTCGAAAGGAACAACAAGCACTACATTGCGAAGAATCATAACCTGGAGAAGCAGAACGCCGCCCTTAGACAGGAAGTGCATAAAATCGAGAGCGAGAGCAGGAAGCAGAGCGCGAAAATCAACCACATGAAGTCGGAGTTATCCATGTGCAGCATGAGGCTGTGTCAGAAGCAGACTGAAGTGATACATTATCGACAGTACGTTCATGTTGAGCTTCTTATAATTTAATTCAGCATTGACAGCTTATTGTTCAAGCATCAATTATTCGCTGAGCTCGTTGCCAACCCAACTGGCAAATTTTATTAAATTAGTTACGTAAGTTGGTCCAATAAGGACCGAAACGTATACAGGATGAGGAAAGAGTACAGAAAACCTTGAATTTTTTGAAAACTGCATTTTAGAAATAAACCTTGAATTTCTTAAAGGCAAACCTCAATTTCTTATTGATGTAGATGTAGATACATCCACTTCTCTATGTGGCGATCGAACGAAAAACCAACAATGTTTTGTTTGAACCCAGGTCTTCGGATTACCAGACCAGCGCACAATCCTCTGCGCCACGATCGCCACCCTCTATTTCTTATTATATCTTCTTTTCTATTAATTAGAACGACTTGTGTCTGAAACATTTTTTGTTTGTCTAACAATTTTTTTTAGATATTCCAAGAAAACTTGGTAACTTTTTTCCATATTCATCATACGATATCTCGATAACTGTTTGTCGTGAGGAAAAATGATACAGGACTCTTTGACTTGATTTGGTGTCAAGAATATGCCGTTGCAATAGTACTTCAGTTTTTACAAACGTTTGTGTATACATGAAAACTCCAAGGAGATACGTTTCTTTGATTTTATCAAATGAGCTTGCCTAGGAAAAATTTCTTGTATTGTTACTTGAGATGAACCTGAAATAAGGTCGAAACGTTGTAACTAATTTAATAAGATTTGCCAGTTGGGTTGACAGTAAGCTTACCTTTTTTAATTTATAATCACTGGCGACTATAAGTGATATTTTTCTTTCATTGATTGTTCTATCTAATCTTTGTTGTATGCATTTGCAGCTTGTACAAAACGCTATCAAAGGGTATACAAGAAATGATTGAAAAAATGAAAGCTTATACCTCCAGTAAAAGTTCTCTTACGAAAAAGTATGTCTTGTTTATATACCTCGATCTCAATGCCTCACAACTTACTTGTCACTGATTCTAGGTTGGCAGACGAGAGGATGAAAAAAATCGAACATCTTGAAGAGCAGCTTAAGAAGCATCCTGATTCCCCAACGACAGAAAAATCTAAGTGCTTGTATGTATTTTCAATACTGAAAATTGTACTCTGGATCTTACCACAAAATCTCTAACGTTTACGTTCTTGTTTTTTCTGTCTTTAGAAAATCTATCGTTTCGGAAGTACAACATGCGAATACGTTACCTTGTGAACGTGAAAATTTGTCCCCACAACATGAAATTCGTAAATTGGAAAAGACTGATACCCAGGTAAATAATTTAATTCTGAATTACACTAATAGAGAATAGTAAGACGAATTCTTATGATAGAAATTAGTTTGCTTTTACCATACATTTCTAATGAGTATTTAATAATATTGTAATCTTTTGCATTTTGAAAAATAAAAATAATTCTCAAGTTTATAATACGTTACAATGTAACGATACATACTGTTATTTTTATAGATTACATTAAAAAAAATAGAGACAGTATTTCTCACGGTTTTTACATGTGAAATTAAGTATAAGTTTCTCGTATGTTTTATATGATGATTATATTCTTTGATAATTATTTCTGTGTTATTGAAAGTTATGTTATTCTAAATAATATTTTTTTTCTTTAGGTCCTCTACATGTATAATTGATTTCTTTTTCTTTTAGCAAATGAACACAGTACAGGAAACCGATGTACAAACTCTTGTTGCGTTGCAACATGTAATGAGACAGATTTTTCCATTTCATAATTCGAAAATGTATAATTCTCATCATCTACTATTAAACTCTGTGTTCGATAATTCTCCGTTCGTCGGGCACCCAGCGAGATCCGTTAGAAAAAGACCAAGGATGATGAATTTGCAACCAGATAGTAGCAGCGATGAAACAAATGATGTAATTGTAGACGATATTGAAATCAATACGGGGATAAGTTTACCATCAGCGTCAGATGATACAATCGTTTCTAATGAAGCGAGTGAGGAAGAATTATATGAATAATTCTACATTCGATGAGTGCCCGACAATTAGAAAAAAAAAGAAATGTTTGCGATCGGCTACTAGTAGCGATAAAACAAATAATAGGCGATGTTAGAAGCCCCGCTGGGATAAATTCACAATCAAACCAGGAAAAGTTAAAACTAAAGGGAGTATCGAAATTATTTTTTAATTAAGCCCATGTTAAAAGTAATTTAGCATTAAAATTTTTTACTGTAGTTTACGTCAACATCTGTTGCATTTATTAAATTATAAACAGAGAATAGAATCCTAATGCTACGCATTAAGTTTCGAATTATTTTCCTTTATGATAGAATCTCTTCCTCAATTTTCATTTTTGTTTAAATCTGGAATCAATTATAACCGAAATATTTGCTTTGCTTTTATTGGTAGACTAGCGACAAATGTCGATACGTGTTTCTTATTTTGTGTTTTAGCCTGGGCACATTGCGAGCAAAAAGAAACTTCCAATTTAAATAAAGCAACTTTACCAATGCCTTTCTCGTCATGAACAATTTTTTTTACCGATAATTCGTGGCAAATATAATCTTCCAATTGGACGCAGTTCTGCAATGCGGAACCAACTTTGAAACCATACTTTTCCGCTAGAGTGAATTTCGCGAAACATTACAAATAAAATTTTGCGCCAACGTTATCCTAAATATAACTAAACTATAATCCTTCTTAAAAATGTCATACGTTTTTTAAGAGTTAGATTATATATTATACAGTAAAAAAAATCAATAAAAATGGTACAGTTGTTACTGCATAACTGCGTCTAATATATTTTAAATTTTATATATGTGATAGAAATATTATCCATTTCGTAAGTGCCATTTCGTAAGTATACAACGCTGAAACCTATTAAAATTAATATAAAAATTTGTTTGTATCTTCTTTACATTAATGCTTCTAACAAGATAACGTATATTTATTAATTGGAAAACTATTTTAATACAGAGTATTTGTGTGTGCGTGCATTTGCATTTGTAAACCATCTACCTCAAGAGAAGATCTACACACGATTCTCGACGTAGTGCATAATCGGAATCGCTTACAACAAGATAGGTAACACAAGATAATTATGATCGGGAGAAAATATGAACGAAGTTATTACAATAAGAGGTAATTTATCTGTTGAGGGGTTAAACAATAACCATTTCGATGTATATCTATAAACTTTTATTCAGTTTTCATAGGCGCTACATCATTTTCATACGTAAAGAGATAGACAAAAGGAATTCTGACGTCAAATATGCATATATACATAGGATACTTCGCGGACAGGGCATGCCATTTAAATGTTACAAAACGCATTGGTTCTTATCAGTAGCAGTCATGTTTCAACAATTGGATTATTAATCGGAATACTCTTACATCCTAGGAACTGAACAAACGAGTACTTTGTACGTAAGACTAGTTTCGTTTCTCTACTCTTTTTTTTATTCTGCAATTGTAAATGCAAATTCGGCATTTGAAGCGTCATCTAATGCGTCAATACTTTTACACTCGTTTATATATTATTACTTTATTTTACTTAATAGCGTTTATTGTACGTCAAGCGTCGGTACGAATGTACAAAAACACACTTTGGCTCTCGAAAAACCAAGTTTCCGCTAAACTCGTAATTTATTAAAAAATTGATTTAATTGCAATCACCTTACTGTTACTTCAGTTATTTCAGATTTGGTCAATGGTATGATAACTTGTGCAAAATTTTCCGTATAATCTATAATATAAACGTCTGCGTGAATGAGTAATATTGCGAGATGATAAAACCATTTTGTCAGTTAATATATGTACAGACATATGTTACCTTAAAAATTAAATTAGCTTTATAAGCGATGGAATTACAAGATACGTACAGTACTCTTGTGTATTGCATTTAATTCGCTTAATAGTAATTACAAATAGTGGTAACAATAATAACAATAAATGAAAAAATATAATACAACGCAAATGCTTATTTTCGAGTCGCGTTTATGTATATATGTATGAGTGTATATTTAACAAACTCTGAAAGTCTTATTACATCGCGAGTTGCAAATAAACGGAGTAGCAAAATCATTGTATGCGCACGATACAAATGCCATTCTAAGAATGAATTACGGTACTTGTCTCGTACGCGTGAAAATCCACGTGACTCTCGGAACAGTTGATCCGACGATTTTCGCGTCGTCCCTCGGCCGCAAGTACCGCCTTGCAAAATGCAAATAGCTTTCCGAAATCGCACGACATTCAATTTTTCCTAAGATTACATTGTATACTAATATCGAAGTATTAGTCCACAGCATATGTGTATGTGTATGTGATTTGATCGCGTCTTCTTCAACGGATTCCTCAAATTCGTATTCTTTAGCACGTAACGTCCAGTACCCCCTGCTGGGTCGGCTTATCGATTGACCCATCTTTTCACCGCTTCCGCCCAGTTGGCTTCATCTTCATCTTCCTTCTCACCGTCCGCCTCCTCTCTCTCGCCTCTCTCCTGATCTTGGTCGCTGGACAGCGTGGCCGACGGTGTCTGCGGTATATTGTTACGAGATCGTAATTCCGCCAAAAAGTCATTCTCCTGCTGATAACGCCGTTGCAGCTCCTCTCGCCAGGAATTCCCGCCGCCGCTGCTATCGTCTCCATCCTCCCCGGCTTCAAAGTCTACAAGTAGACGCGACCCGTTTCAAAATTCAGTTGCACGCATATTGAGGCCGTTCATTACATTTCTAGCTTTCGGTTTAAACGATAAAAGATAAAGTAGCATATTTATATTCGCCGAGTTTAACTCCATTTCTCTGTGTCTTTCTCTCTCTCTCTCGCTCACTTTGCCTTCCCAAGTAGGTCTCAACCTCGAAGAAGGTTTACGTCGTACCAAGAGAATATTATCTGATATTTGTACATATATAGACTTATAACTATAGACGAATAAAAATATAATCATCTGTGAGGATATACGACAAAGATCCATAGGACAACTTATCTTAATATTATCGTCAGAAGTATACATCGTAGTGTGTGCGTGATACTTATGAAGATGACAGAAATGTAGAGATGTTTTTAGATATGAATACGAATATATAATATATATACATATATTGTATGTACATATATATGTACACGTTTGATCTTTGCAAAATTAATGTTGAAGGTACCAAAGTAAAAACTGAAAACCGAAATGTCAACGTAGAGACTCGGTAGATAATCGGCGCTTGAAAAGTTACGGGATTGCTTCGACTGAAGAAGAGCGACATTGCGAATATCTAAGGTGCAAACGAAAGTAAAAGTAATGAAAGTCTCAAAATCGAACGATAGAGATACTTACCTAGCGGTTTTCTGATGTTCATTAGTCCCGAGTTGTGAGAATGGTCCTCCTGGTCTGAGTCTGCAAGCCACCAGGACACATTCACGGGGGGTGCATCACACACATTCCATAACACGTCTAAAGTGTCATTTGTATATTGTATATAGTATATCGGAAAGTCTATTTTTTGTCTCGGCCAAATTTCATTGGGAAGATATACATGCAGTCCGTCTAACAAGAGCGCGACAGGCATAATTTTGCTTGTTGTAATAAAATAAAATAAAAACTGCACGTTACTTAATCGATTTCGTATTAAACAGCTGTTTACTCGTTGTCGATAATTGGCATTTTCTAGAGACTGCTTCTTACTTGACAGCGCATCTTCGAGGTAAAGATTTTCATGCATCAGACAAATCTATTCAACTGGCCTTGTTTTTTTACGACGCTTTAGCTTTATACATTTTTAGACGTTCTCGATCGGGTTTGCATTGGCCAGTCTAACATTTCGACGTCGTTTTCTTCCCACCACTGGGTGCAATTTTGAATTATTGCCCATGAATTAAGTTTGTTGACGATTTGTTGGAAAAGTCTATCGGAAATAAGTCAAGATTAAGCCAAGATAGGCCAACATTAGTTTGTGAAAGAAGCTCCATAAAGAGAACATAATTGCCCTAATCACGATCAATATTTGCGTGCGCCAGAGCGATTCTTTTTTCGAACAGGAGAAACTTTTGATTGCGCTATAAAAGTTCAAGTTATGAGTAGGCAACTTGGAATGCTTTCGCAGAATATATCTATACTTTCTTCCTTCAATTTCACTGGGTGAGGATTGATAAAAGACTCGTCGCGCATTCTGGTAGATCATTGCAGTTCTCGAGTTAGTCCTCTTGGTTGCGGATACAAGGACTTGGAATTGTACGCGGCACTAATAGCCAATTTGTTCCCTCACGAAAGTCAGACAATAACCGAGATTGCAGAAGGAGAGTTCCATTAGCCGATTATTTGAATCGGATTTCTAAGCGAAAGTTTTATCGGTCACGCTCTTGTTAGACAGACTGTCCTTATCCATGTAGAAATACAATTATAATTTCGTATCTATTTCTAATTAACTTTTTATCGTGTGACGTCTCCTTACGTAAGACTTGGACAATTTTGAGTTCTCGTGTTTGATTTTACACGTGTTACGAGTTTGTTGGTCTAAAAGGTGATCCGACTCTCGGAGTTTTCTTTGCAGAGCAACAATTATATTCCGAATTTCTTGGGATTGCGGATTAGATTGTGGTTTCTGTGATGTAGTGTAGTCCGCCGTGTGCTATTCCACTAGGCTAATATTAACTAAGTCTATTCTAGAAAGAAAATAAATGAAACCATGTAGAAATGGCAACAGGCAAATATACAGACTATTTTCCAGGCCGTTCGGACTAATTTTAGCACTCGGTCCCACTAACAGACGTAATGAGAATGGTTCGTGTGCGTGCACGGTTTGCATCTAGAGACAACGTGTTTATGGCACCCATTCGTGTAAACCTTTCTCGTTACTTCGTTTAGTAGGATGCGATTAAATTATACCGAACGTTTCAGAAACAAACTGTATAGAGAGAAAATATACACAGTATCCCATATTGCACTTTCTCTCGGTCATTAGATATTGCAGGATATAATATGACAAAACTGTTAAATACTATTATCTTTTTCGAGAGAAATTTATTAAATATCTTAATGTGTAAAATATCTCAAGTGTAAGGAAAAAATGTTTCGAAACAAACGTAATTGCGGGAAGAAAGTGTAATAGTTTTAACAGGGGACCCTGTGTGTGTATATTTCCGTATTTACATATTTTCAAGAGATCTGTAAACGTTTTTCGTATAAAACTATTATTACATTATTAGAAATTTGTAAAACTCGTGTATAATGCAAGATGTCGTGAAACTAGCTCGAAAGTCACTTATCTCGACGTTTTACGATCGAAACGGGATTCACGTCGATCATTATTCACCTTCCTGCAAGGAATGTTGTACTTACACGAATTTCCAGAATACGAACGTATATACATGAAGGTGCATCCAAGTTCGATTCAAGTATATCCGATGGAATTTCTTACGTATAGATAGCATTTGGTATGGATCATCTCACAGATCGTCTATGAATATCAAGACTAGGAACAGATGAAGAGTCGCATCTTTTTCATGCTATATATGTGATCCTTTGATGACATGAGAGAATATAAATGCGACGTGGCATGCCTGTACATTCAGCTCAAATGCGATGATTGAGAATATTTCAGAGGTAAATGTTAGTAGCGAGTAGTTGAAAGGTAAATCCTGCGTCGTGTTATTTCTTGCAGTTTTAAGTCGAGTTGAAAACAATAAAATAATGATATACATACGGTGTGCGAGAGGTGAGCATACCCGACTTTGAAAAATTCGAGATATCTGTCTTTGGCTAATATTTGTATATTCAGAACGACTAGGTGTGAGGAAGAAAGGAACGTCTCGTATAAAATGGCATGAAACACGCAAACTAATTGATATATACATCTGCCAGTAGTGTGGTAGTGGTGAGAGTAATAATAATAAAAGTAGCAGAAGAGCAAAAATAGTAGCAATAGTAGTAAACAGTAGTAGTATACAATGGATATGGTCTTGTTGTAAGATACTACGCACGATAATATGGTGAAATGCAGATCAGTTTATCTATTGCTCACCTCGCCTCTGAGACAATCGAATTTGACATATATTTACGGCTCCACTGATAACGAAATCGCTTAATCCATATTGCTAACATGCCATCAGCTAAAACACGGCGATAAACGCTAACATACTTTGTAGCTAAAAGCTTGCAATATCAAATTGATCTGTACAACTCACGACGAGGCGCTACTGCCTCTTAAAAAGTTACCTTTCGTTTCGATTGTGAGATAGAGTAATACCTATATTTTGCGAAATTAATGTACCAACTATGTATTGCGTTTAAACATACTATCACGGGAAGTAGGCTGTGTGGTATCGTGTAATTATGCTATTTATAAAACTATAAGCGCAACTGGACATAGCTTTGTCAGGCGAATTTTCGTCGGCGTTGAGTTTAATGGAACTCTTACAATTTTAGAAAATTCGGAAAATATCTCTCGTACATCGTTTATAACTTCAACGTACGTTTTCTCCTGAATTTTCAGCGTATTAAGTGAGGAATATTTTCAAATCAATCAGTTCTACTTTCACGCATCTACGTCCAATTTATCAACTGTTATTATTGGTACTAATCGATTTTTTATAGCGCATCATTATTTAACATACCTGAATTTAATTCCCTCACAAGCGTTGACATGGCATTAGTAACGCTGTCGGCAGCTACCAGTAAGTCGTTTCTTAAGGATCGGCCCAAACTATTATTGGCACTGCTGGAACCGCTCCCTGGTAAGCTGTTTGTCCTGAACGCAGACCTGACATCGAAAATCTCTATTTTCTTGGCGCGAAGCAATTTCCAAAATAAAAAGTTCTTTAAAACAAAAATTGCGGCATGCAATTTTTATTGCACAAGCATTTTCCAGTCCGCTTAACGTAAACTTTTACACATTCAATTCGCTATAGTTGCTCGCGCCCAAGACATACATAAGCGTCTATAAAGTTTTAAATTAAAATTAGCAACTCATCGATTATAACAATACACACACATGCACAATTTCAGGAAGCTACGATATTTATTGGTGTCTAATGTAATGATATACTGTAATCTAACAAAAATATATCGATATGGCAAAGGTATGTGAACGCATCGCAAATGCTTCGTCTCCGATCTATTAAGATAGCTGCCGCGTTTGACCGTTACAGCACTTGCAGGATATATTTACATATCGCAACGCTTGCGTAATAAATAATAACAATGTTTTCAGGATGGATGGTGTTTTACACAAGCTTAGCAGAAAAGAGGGATCGGACGGGTAACTTGTATCGCGTCAAACTTGTATCCAACGCATCGGTACTTTCCTTACAGGATAGCTGCTTTTATATACTGTACATAAAAAATGACACACTTAAGATGACTAATGATGGTAGCAAACTAAAAGGGGATATTCACGTAAGAAACTTACATTTTGAACCTAATAGAAATTAAAGGAAATTATTCAAACAGGGTTAAAAAGCGACATGACATGGGATATACAAATATATCTACTATATATATATTTAGTCGATATAAATCTGACGATTTAAGTAACATCTTACGGGGTACTCTCACTTATTTCGCGCTAGTACCACATTACTCTTAACACTAGCTTAATTAGAAATCGCTCATATTCGCATGCAGGATAATTTAGGAGTTCTTTAGCTAATTGTGAAGTAATCGTATACTGTGCAATATTTCTATGCCAATTGCTACAATAATATAGACGGGGCAAATCAATTGTTTTTCAATAAACACATGATCGGGGTATATATTTTGTATATAAGTGATGAACCTGCTTTCTTCGAGCGTCTATGTTTCAGAATTGATTTCCTTACAATTAGTCGTTTACTTGATCGATAATAATTTGAAAAGGATTCGGTCCAATGCGACGCGTGGCATAAAACTACTATCTCCAATAAGTGATATCTACTTCACGTTGTTGCGAATATTGATATAATTTAGTATTTCTTTAGCTACTCTAATTATATACCTACATTGTTAGAAGTGTATTTTTATGTACATGGAATGTACACAGATCTCTAAAGTTCGCTCGGAATGTCTAAGTGAACAAGTTTTGCTGACTATGTAATATATTATTCTGTATATATGAATCACGTGTACGAGTAAGTATCACGCATATACGTCCGTTTATAATTTTCTCTGTCTTTCGCTCTTTCCGCGCTGTAGGTTCTATCCTTTCGTTTGCAATGTACTCTCTCTCTCTCTCTTTCTCTCTTTGTGCATGCTTGCCTACCTTACATCGCCGCCAACGCACGACAAGCTATCTGGAATGGGATTCTGTATCGTGCCGAGCATTGCGTTGCCCTGCACATTAGCCACTGTCGTCGTCGGTACGGGATTTTGATAGCTCTGTGACATTTGTTGCGGCATTTGTTGTTGCATCTGCTGCTGTTGTTGCTGCTGCTGCTGCTGCTGCTGTTGAGGTGTAGACAAAGGCCCGCCGGGGGTCGGCGGCGCAGACCTGCTGCTTGGTATGGCACCGGGTGGCAAAGGCGGTGACTTCGTACTTCGTGGAGAACTGTTCGGTGTTGATCGCGGTGATGCTTGATGGTTCTATCAAGGTAGATTGAATATATCACTAATTGCGTTTCTGTCGTTACGCGAGACAATAGTCTTCTTTTATTTTAAACTTCCGCGACACACACATTTCATCGGTTTTCCTTCTTTAACAAGTTTCTTCGAAGACAAAGAACCGAGTTGAAACTCGTTTACAAACTTTAACAGTTTAACTTTTAAAGAGACAATCTTGTAAAATGGTTCGCGAGGATACCTTCAGCATTTTCATTAAACCCTCCAGCTGTACCATTAACTGCCTCCTGGAATCTTGTAACGTCGCCAGATGCGTCTCCAGTTCGTCTTTTCTCTGCCTCAAAGCTCGTAATTCTGACATTAACGCCGGATTTTCCAAACCCGCGGCTTCTATCTCCTGTTGCCTTCTGTAGCGAGAATGAAAGATTTCTTGAGAGATTGTTAGATGTGACATGAGAAAGTGGAATATATCTCAGAATAATAATATTCCACTTTACTGATTCATTTTATAAGCGTTGTGATGTGTGGTTAATGTATTAATGTAGTATATGAATGTATTAATATATGAGTTTAATGAGTATGTATATGAATATGTCCGAGAGAGAGATCAAGAACGCTCGATGTCAACGAACTCGTTTGAACTCGCAAATAGTCTCTTTGTCACTGTTACTCGGCGATATCCAAGATATTAAAAGAAGGGTTCAAAATTTTTAGGGCAATACTCGTGAAACGAAGCGAAAAGAATCTCAATTAGCGTAGGTCAAACAATTAACATTTTCCGAGTTTCGGTTAAAGTAAATTCCACAGGAAGAAGAAAGGAGAGTTTCTCAAACTCCAAAGTTTACAGAAAGATGTCTTCCTGCCATTTCTATACATGCTTCGCACCTTCGTACCACAGAATTGCGATATTCAAGCAAAATAGAGAAATGTTTGTAACTCGGAAAATATTAATTTTTCAGTCTACGTTTATTGGGACTTTTGGCTCCGTTTCGCGAGCACTGTCTGCCCATAGAGTCCTGAGCCCTGTTTTTAACATCCTGTGTAAATATATGTATCGTTTTTCTCTTTGTTCCGCTGTGCAAGCTATGCAACCAAAGTGACACAAAGCAAAACAGAACGTTCTGAACATGCGTGATCCTAGGATGGGTCAACGGGATGAAATCGAGGTTTAGGTTTGATATAAAGGAATATAAACGACACAGGTATACCTTAACCTTGCTATCTCGCGCATAATCTCCTTGTTCTTCGCCTCGAGCTGCGATATGAGCTCGCGCTGCGCCCGCGACGCGTCTAGCGACGCCAGGTTCATGTCCGACGGCGCTCGAACCTGTAACCAGAAGCGTCGTCGTTCCGCGTGAAACCATCCGCGACGTGAATTCTTATTGGAGGTCTAAACGATGTATACTTACCGCTTGATCTGCCTGGGACATTCTGGACGCGGTACGAGGCTGTTAACGAGGCAGTTATAAAATTAATATTAGTGCCAGGGAGCGGCCACGATAGTGGAAAACGTTACAACAGTTTAATTGGCTTTTGCAAATTTAAGAACACTCGGCGCGCTCTAACGTTAAGCAAATTACGGAAATTACGCGTGGCTGTGTGTAGATAATAAGTGTAAAATGTATATAAATATTTAAGGACTTACCATGGTCCTCGCTTCTTGTGCCAACCTTTGTGCATATCGTGCTATTAATTTATGTTCATCGTCCAGTCTTGAACTGTCCATACTGGACGATATACAAAAGGAATAAGTAAAGCATTTGGCGTCTGCGCGCGAACGGCAAAGGCAAATAAATTGTGCATAAATGATAATCTCGCTCGAGCTTACCTTCTCAGGGTCGAGCGACTATCCACCGATCCTGAATCAAAGGGAGCCATAAATCCTGGATCTGGAAAACCGTTGTGAGATGGTAAAGGTGACGGTGGGCTGGAACGTAGTGAATTTATTTGGATTGTAAAATTACGCCGAGACACAAGGAGCGATTGTAAAGCGCAAGTGCAAAACGATAGAGATACTAACACTATATGCGACAGATCTAGCGTCTTCTCGGGCTGCTCCGGGAATCGCGGCAGACTGTTCTTCCCCTTCTCGGGGACGCATCTGAAGCTCTTTCGCAGGGAGTGACCGATCTGCTTGCTCGGCGATTTCTAATCGACGAAAGTTACATCATTGTGAGAGAGTAACGCAGGATTTAAATAGATAAACAATGAGAGCACGTACGAAGCTGCTGTACTCGCGCGTTTCATGATCATTATTGTGCGTCCCTGAAACTTTCCCACGCCAAAAGCAGTCCTGACACAGCTGGTACGAGTGGCACTTCTGACATCTGTATCGGAACCCAGTGAAGTTCTCCTTGTGACACGCGTCGCACATGATAGGATGGGCAACTGGAAGCACGAAGGACGGCGTGTGAGATCTCATTCGCCGATCGATCACCGCCCCCGGCTAATCTCTCGACTACAATTACCCGTTTCCACGGCCGCCATTCTGTGATATAACGGCAACCAGATTAAGCAATGCGGCCCGGGATCCGACATGAGCGTGTCCAGGAAGTCGTTGACGGTGACTTTGGAGTTCTGCCGCATACAAGGCATTATCCCGTTAAGTCCGGCAACGCATTTAGAGCGGCGCAACACGCATACGTGCATATCGCGTACGTACCGCGGGAAAGATGGAGTTGGCGAGACCGTCGGAGTAGCCGAAGGACGGGGACTCGTAGACCGCCGCGGTCAGGGCTAGTACCTCCTTCAGATAATCGGCGAACCTCCAGTGTATCATGTGCCCGTTGCTGTCGGATATCTGCGAGTATATATCTGCCCGTGGGACAAACATCGTTAGTGAAATTAGCTCCAGCGGTCACTGGGAGAGCGGAGGAGGAAACTATTTGCTCGCGTGGGCTTACATCGAAATTTGTCCATGAGCTTTCCCGCGCATAACGTCGCCAGGGCCACCTTGACCGAGAACACGGATATCTTATTGTTCTCCCTGAAAGAGGATCATCGCGGTTTAAATTAGACGCTGACGATCGCACGTCTCTAACGTCGTTCAAACAAGAACAAGAGGGGAACAAAAAAACGTGAAGAGACCAACGCAGCGGCTGTTTATCTTATCGAGCTTATATTACCCGCTGGTATAAGCGGCCAGCAGCCAGTTCATCAGCAACGCCGTGGTGGCGTCGACCTTGGACTGCTGCGACACCGGCACTCTCTTGTTCAGCGCGTGAAACAGGGAAGACAGCAGCGTCTCGAGCCTGGACACCCCCAGGGTGCTCGACGGCTCCAGCGTGTTCAGGCCGTTCTCTCGAAATGCCTCGATCACGTTCCATATATCGACGTTGTGCACTGCGCAAAATCATGCATGCGTTATTAAAAAGGTACATACCTTGACATTTTTACCTTAACATCTCTTCACGCCAGATTAACTAACGCAAAAAAAAACGCGAGAGCGCCGCGTTCCCTTTAAATTCACCGCCGGCACAAAGAGAAACGTTAATTATCGTATATGTATAGCGCACGAGTGTGAGAAAATTAGCGTTTCCGAGTTAACATCCCAGCCGCGACCTAAGGATCATAAAGATGTCATGAGAATAGAATTGAAGAATAATCTTAACGGTGAATCGTCGACCTGGGAAAATTTTACGCGACCTTCTCGCGTGAACCTCTCGGAAGCCGATCAACTCCGTTCTTTTTTCTTTTTTTTTTTTGTAAAAATCTCATACCTCAGTACCAGAGCGTACGATCTTACAGTCTACTCTTATTTTTTATAGATTAAATCTGTGCTAACGAAGACCAAGTCAAAACGTTAATGTATTTATATCTATTTACTTTACTTTTTAATTTTTGCGAGATACAAACGATTTTCAATTTTATAATTTCCATTTTTTTTATGCTGTTCTCACTTCGCGGAGCGCGTTCTGCTTCCGAGGGCCTGCGTACAAGAACCTGTCGAGGCTGGAGACAAACGTATTGACTCACGGTGCACTTTCCTCTGTATGAATCTCAGCTTGCAGGCGGTGCGGTACGACGCGAATCGTATGGTGTCGAAGTTCTGCTGTCGCATCTCCTGCAGAAGCTGCAGCCGGCTGGTCTCGCCGCTGCTCCCGTTTCCGGAGCCGCCCGCGCCCTCCTCTGCCATTTTCACTGCGAAAAGCCAGCGGATGATGAGTCTGTTCGCCGATTCTCCTCGCGTCCAACGCCCGTAGCCTCGCGCGACGACGGTACCCGCCGATCCTGCGCTCGGGATCTCTCGACTGCGTTGTTTCTCTTTTCTTGTTACAGTGGCAAATTTATGCGCGGTATGAAAGATCGGCGAGTACGCGCGAAGCGAAGGTCGCCGGAGTGACTAATCGTAGATTCATTAGCCGCCAGCCACGTGCCTCGATATCTCTCGACGAGTACTCCGCAGCAACTGTGCGTTGCGCTGTTAAATTTGACTCGCAATCAGTGAGTAGTCGGCACTGTTCCTACTCAATACGTAATTTTTCTTATCTATCACGTGGCAAACTTTATTATTTTTAGCACAAATTACAATCAAAAAGATAACTACAGTTTCCATTCAATGCCATTTCATTGCTTCTTTTAACTCCATCGTTTGATTAAATTAGCGACATAATTTTTAACCGTGTGTAGTAAAATTTCTACATTTATTTGTATGTGGCAGCAAATTAAATGAAATTATTTTTTTGCACAAAAACTGTAGTTAAAAAAACCACATCTTCTGTTCAGCCCATTTTTGTGCTTTCTCTTAATTACATTGTTTAATTAAATTAACGACGTGTTGAGTAGAAGTGGCGACTGCTCGTTGAGTCAAATTTAACAATACAACTGTGTACGACGACGATGTTGCATTTCGAGTGAAGCAAACGAGACGGGATGTAATACTGCGCGTAATCTCGCAGCGAAACAAGGCTGCCGTCAAAATTAAAATTGACCTTTCAGCGGCGCTACGCGGGATATTATTTACGAGGCGTCGCTCGACTTTGCCTCATTACGTTCTCTATTACCTCTAGCTTGATACCAAGTGATACATTCCGACGCGAATTGATAAAACACTGAGACGCGTGACGAGGCAACTGGCGGAGCTGCTCCTAATTCGTAGGACGCGTCACGTCGTGATGAGAAACGGGACTGTTCAGCGTCGACTTAACGACGGCCTGGCCAGAGCTAATTAGCAATGATTAGAGAGCACACGCCGTGTGTCTGCCTCGCGGAAACGCGCCACGTGTCGTCGACGCGCGAGCATTTTCAACCCGGACTCGCGTAGAAATGATGCAACTAAATAAATAATAAACGAGGCCATTGGTACTGGCGGGCATTGTTTTATTAATACGCTGTTTTATTAACACTGAGATTTTCATCGGATAAACCAATTATACAGGGTGTCTCATTTTAAATGATCCACGCAAATATCTCCAAAGATATGGAAGATACGGAAAAATGTTTCAAACAAAAGTTGTTTGGCTCGAAGGGGGACATAAGGTGGTGCCATTGACTTGATCTTGGATAGTCATTTGAAGGATAGTCACCTTCAATTTTTTTAATGGAACCCCCTATTGTTTATTATACTATATTAATCTGCTAATTAATATGAACAACTTTTGTCCGAAACATTTTTTTGATTTGCCTAATTATATTCAATCAATTTTTCTCAGTGTATCAATGGCCTTGTTTATTATTTATCAGTTATTACATGAGCGGTTTTCCCCCCTTGTTCTTTTTACAACTTTTCCTGATCTGTGACATACATTACTGCAAACTTGCGGACGTTGCTTCTTTTACTTCGGGCACTCGCGTTAGATAATCATGGCGCTCTCTATTGTGTTCCCTTCTCTCTTTGGTATTTAAAGATTGAAACGTCGCCGAAAGAGGAACCGGATATCGCTCCTCGATATAATTATTCGCTCCGTCTGGTAGCGTTCACACGAGATTAAACTGGGAACGAGATACTCGATTTTCACTCATTTCGCGAGGGACAATTTGAACCGCGGGGAGTTAATATTAGCCTCCTCCACGGCAGACTCTTCGTCATGGGCCGTTGCTTCTTTTTTTTTTTAATTTTGCGTGGACATGTACGAAGACTATTTTCGGGAAAAGGATTGATTCAAGGTTGTTCAACCGTGATGATATAATCCGCTTTACGTAAACGACTGCCCCAGTTAGGAAACGTCGATACCCCCCCAAGTAGATGTAATTGATTTACAACTGACCGTCCGTCACCCGAGGATTATTTTTTCGGCCACCGATCTCCTCCGTGCGCCTCGTTTATTTTTTCCCCGCGCTAAATCTCGCCACCACGTAATGATTCGTTTGTGACGAATATTCCTGAAAAATGCAGCACGTTGTGTCTACGAGTGATATTCGCGATGCCAGGAAAATTTTTAGACACCGAGGATCAAGAGAAAGTATCGCAGAATTATTTCTTCTGATTTAATCTAATTAGATTTCACGTCAAAATTATAACATCGCTCCGGACGATATGATTCGGGCTCTTCAAGTTCCGCATTAGAATAGTATAATTTCATACGTTGCGCAACGCGAAAAAAAAACACTCGACGGCTCCAAAATACACACATGTACGAAATATAATGTTAAAATACGCGCCGAAATGGACGGCTCATAAAATCGTAATTAAAAATTATATCCTGAAATTGACTGTCGAATCACGTTATCTGGAGGGAGCTTGAAATAATTTTGATGGGAAGCTTAACGAGAAGCTCATTAGTTGGATTTAACTGGGGAAAACTCGCCTTTTTTTTTTTTAAACGTCTACTACAAATTTCCAGAGCGTTATGTTATCTACGAAAATAATAATGCGCCGTTCAGAAACGCTCGGCATCCGGAGATCCGGGCAATAGGGAGGAGTGCCCTGCGAGCATTCATCTTTTTTTTTCGGGATGTGCCGAGCGCGTCGCGCCGTTCGAATTATTTACACGCGACAATTCGCCGAAGACCGCGGACCGGAATGGACCGATCGGGAAGCAATGAGGGAACAATCGGCCGATAGCTCCGGTCGGAATGAGCGAACTAAACGCGGATGCCTAAGTTTGAATCAATACGATAAGTGGGCCAGGTGGGGAGCGGGGGGAGGGGGAGGGAGAGAGGGGGGAGGGAAGGGAACGTAAGATCGGCGGAAGAAACGGGGGGAACGGCCGGGAAAGGAACGCCGGGCGGCCGCGGGCGCGTTTGAAGGAACGCGCGAAACGGAGCGGGCCGCCGGGAGGCGCGGCCAACTTCAGGCGCGTCGAGAGGAAAATCTCTTCGATCCGGCGAGCCGCAGCGGCGCGGAGTCGCGCCGCCGAGAGGAACGACACACGGGGAATCGAAGCCGACGGCGGGCACGTCGATACGCGGGCGCGCTTGGATCCTGCCCTCGCTCGATTGTAGGTTCGTCACGAGGTTCGATTACTTACTCGCCCCGCGGAGTTTTCTGTCGGAGCTTCGGCAGAGCCGGTGTGCCGTTCTCGCGTCTCCAAAGGTTAGCACTTTCTGCAATTTTTCTTCTCTCTCGCTCTCTCTCTTTCCCCGAACGTATGCGTTTAACCTCAAATTGATTTGAACTTTACAGTCGAGAGAAGATCCAATTGTTCTTTTTTATTTGCTCGATTAATTTTATTGGAAGCGCGACAATTACGACGCTGCACTCGTGGCGCTTTTGATAGAATAAACCGAGTGCGAGGAGTAATTGGATCTTTTCTGGACCTCGAGTAATGGGCGCAACAAGCTACGATCGTAGAGCTCGGCGATTTGTTTGCGCGGGGAATTTCGTAAACCGCGCGCTTGCGCGGCAACGGGGGACGCGTCCGCCGAGATTTGCTCCGGGGGCGAATCTCTCGGGCAGCCGAGCTCCGATCAGTCTTAATTATTAATTCGCCCGGCGGAATGACTCGAGGTCTCACATTTTAAATTACACCATTCGTCTGTTCCTGATCTCCTACCTCTCTCCCCGCGTGTCGAGCGACGAAAAGTGTTAATTCTATCTAAAACGTCACAGGTATAATACACTGCGAAAAAGAAGCGTTGAATCAAGAAATATTACAGAGCTCATAAAGTTCTTGAAAATGCCACGTTGTCCCGCGATTGCACGAGTTTCGGGGTAAATTTTAAGAGAAAAAATTTTCTCCCCGTGTGTATATTCGAACTAAAGAAATACCGAGGGGGAAAACCGCTGAGGGCACTGTGGTGTACAGATTTGTGGTATTACTGGGCATTACTAGGCATTACTAGATATTTTTTGGGCATTAGTTTGGGCATTAGGCCTTGCTGGGGCATTGTAAAGATAAAATAAGATAAAACAAGATAATAACATAAGGTAATGCCCATTGGGCATTAGTGGGTATTAGTGTACAAGATTTTGGTCAGCGGTTTTCCCCCTCGAGAAATACAGGCATTATGGTGTACAGATTTGCGGCCTTACTGGGCATTACTAGGCATTTTTGGGCATTAGTTTGGGCATCAGGCCTTGCTGGGGCATTATAAAGATAAAATAAGATAAAGTAATGCCCATTGGGCATTAGTGGGCGTTGGTGTACAAGATTTTGGTCAGTGGTTTCCCCCTCGAGAAATACAGTCATTATGGTGTACAGATTTGCGGCATTACTGGGCATTTTTGGGCATTAGTTTGGGGATCAGGCCTTGCTGAGGCATTATAAAGATAAAATAAGATAAAGTAATGCCCAATGGGCATTGGTGTACAAGATTTTGGTCAGCGGTTTCCCCCTCGAGAAATACTGTATTTAGTCATTTCAATAACTCTTTTCTCCGTGTATTTATAACTCTGGGAAAGAAAAGACAGTTAAGCCACCCATTTTGGGGCCCGCAATTAGTAATCGAATTAGCTGGATTCTTCGTAACATTACGCTGGGAAAAATTTTGACCGTTTTCACTTGTAGTTAAGCAACTTAACATTACGGTTAGCGCCTCTTAGGCGAAAAGTATCTTTGCGTTACTGAACGTCGACAGAACTAATTGAGAGAACTGATCAGTATTACTTAAAACTCTTGGATACAGATAGAATAGCTAATTGCGATTTTTAGTTACGCGGGGTAAAATTCACAAAAGATCCGAGTTACGAACAGTCCAAGTAATTCGATTACCAATTGTGGGCCCCAAAATTAGATGCTTAACCGTCTTCTTTTTCCAGAGAATGCAATTCTACTGCCGGTTACGTTGACGGAAGTTTCGGTCGAAGTCACCCTTGGCAGAACGATCCTCCCTCGAGCACGCGGATCGCGAAAACCCCCTTTTCGGATGATCAATAATAAAACCCACAATTGGATCGGGCTTAATTAAGGACGAAAGCAGCTGCCGAATGAGTATCCGCTTTTCCATATTAAGTTACAACAAACTGGCAGTCGGTATATTTTTGCGACAACGTTAAAAACGCCGCGCTAAAATGGAGAATAACGTCGCGACGTCGCGGGAATAATTTAGCTCTCCGACGTTATTTTTTCACCTTGCGGGGCTCGCGATTTTGCCAGGCGCGACACCGTGCGTTACCGTCAACGCCGACTGGACAGTCGAGTCAGCGGGAGGCCGTAATTGATTTGATTCTCCCGTCAGTAATGGAATCGTCAGGCACGGCGCATAATGCGGCGCGTCGCGGTTTTTTAATTAAGCGACAAACGCCGGGGATAAGCGAGGCGCGCGCGGTCCACAGTCGAACAGTTAATTTTCCCGTACAATTTCGAAGTCGGAACGTCAATAAACGATGCCTCGCGGTTACCCATCAATAATTCAGCGCCTATCAGTATTAAGCTGTCACTTAACGCCGTCTCGTCCCGTGCACGCGTATTTGAGAGTCAGAGCGCATGGATTTCGGACACGGCAGCTCCAAACACAGGCGGCCGCGCACACCGACGTTCTATTTCGAAATCATTTGCAGCGCTTCACCGAATCGTTACGTTCGACAGCAATTTAGACGGCAACTGTGGATATCCGCGCCGGGCGGCCTCCGGTGGACGATCGTCCCGGCGCATCGATGAAATCTTAATCGTGCCAATTTATTATTCTCCTCTTCATCCACCGCGGCGATTTAATTAAGCGATAGCGTCTCCACTCCTGAATCGAATCACGGCGTACCTCGGTCGTGCCGCTTGTGCGCTTGCCGCGTACTGGAAGAGCGTATCGAAAAAATGTATATTTCCTAAAAGATACAAACGTACGTGAGTGCCCCGGGTGGAAAAATCGCGAGAGGGGTTACACGGGTCGGGAAACGAAAAGAGCGGGCAGCCTTGCAGGCACCTAACCTGTTCTACCGGTCGGTTGACCCATCCTACCTGCCTACCTACCTGAGGCGCTCTCTGCGCGCGTGTCTTCGGCGTGAAAAAAAAAGGGGGTACCGACGGGGGCGTGGAGTTGTCGTGCCGTGGAGGACCTCCCTCGGACGCTCCTATTGCCCCGGCCGCGTCATCGAGTCTCTCTCGGGCCGAGGGACGGGTCGCCGCGACGCCGGATCGGGTTAAGAACCGGGAGAGCGGCCCGCTCTCGGCGAACGGGAGCCGTGTCCTCGCGGCACCGCCGCGCGCGAGCGGTTTTGACAGTACGCGGAAGAACCGTCCGCCTCGCTCGCGCGACGCGGTCGATATATCGCCTCACGGCACGTGCACGCGCGGCCGGAACCGGCGGCGGCCGCCGAGCCGTGCGGCCCGCGGTACCCGCTGCTGACGAGGCGCGCGGAACGCGGCGCGGATTCTCCCCCGGATGCCGGGGACGACGTCACGGTAAACAAGCCCGCCGAACGAATCCCGATCCGACGCACGTCGCGGCCATCACTGGCCATCGCTGGATCTTCCCCGACGAGCCGCTGGCGGCGCCCGCTCGCCCGCCCCGCTGAACGGGGGGAACGAGGGGAAATCGGACCGCGCGCGGCGCGCGCGACGGATTCGAATCGCGGCTTCCCCCGCGAGCAGGGAGTCGGTTCTGTATCTTGCGACGTGGTGAAGGTGTGCTCGAAGTGAGCTGCTTTGTCTCTTTCTGGGGAAACAGTTAGAAACGCGGACCTCTGTGCGCTACTAGACCGCGAGCTTCGGGCTAAAAAGTGAGGCCGAAATCGACCATCAACTTTCCCGTGAGAGCAGGAGTCTCGCACGCGTTTCTCTTTCGAATGAACTCAAGAATCGAGCCCCTGGCCATAGTATAATTAGCAGGTCCACTCTCTGTCGACCCCTTTGATCTCTGCGATCACGTGGTATTCCGACATTATTTTAGGCAGCGATCCAGCGGCGCACGTGTGTGTACTGTAGTCGAATGTGTTGTAGTGTATCAATGCTACATTGGTCTGCCCAGAACAATGTCGGACGCGCAGACTGGATCGACGCCAAACGAAACAAATGACCGAGTGGACCTGCTAGTTATGCTATGATCTGGAGACACCCTGTGTACACACAGACGTGCACATACTACTTTATTTACCTAACAAGATACGGCGGTGCTTCACTTTTTAGCTCGAAGCTAGCAGTCTGGTATACAGAAGTCTGTGGTTAGAAAGAGACAAAGCTACTCACTTTTAGCATTTTCACTGCAGTGTAAAACCAACGGCACTATTTTTCCTACTGGATCGCTTACAAGAGCCAATCAGGATGCGGAGTTTTAGATCAGGTGACTTAAGGCTAAACCCTGAGTGGCTCTCGTAAGTAATCCAGCAGGCAAAATAGTATCGTGTGCCGTTGGCTTAAGATACACGTGGCCGGTATTCATAGTCAGATCTTATATTCAAGACCTGAATTTATCCAACGATGCTGTAGGGAACATTTCATTGGCTACGGAGTACCTAAAGACGATCTTACGACAGTCTTGAATATAACATCTGACTATGAATACCGTCCACAGAATTGACAAACAGGAGATCCCGTCCGATCTAGTTAACTTTCGGAATTGGAGAACGGATGACGATTTAATGTCGAGAAGCGAGAGAATTAGTGTTAGAAGCTTTATTAAATAATACACTTGGATTCGAAGTAAGCTAAATTGCGATTTGAAGAAACGCTAGCATGGCAGTGCTTCGACTTTTCAGTTCGGCGTTGAGCGTTGAATTATAAAAATCGCTCGTATTGAAGAAAAAAGATATATCGAATAGCAACTTTTTCTTTTAATAATCTTTCTCCGCAGTGCTCTCTTCTTCCGCTACGTATATAGAGAGTAATTCCTATGGCGATGGCCGATCAAGGGCCCTTCTCGTTGCCGCGGCCGTGCAAGTAATTGCCGCCAGGGTAGTTGCAGAATTCGCAGTATCCAGGTGGTCCCTGCGCTCCCGGTGGTCCCCTCGCACCAGGAACACCTACAAGCATTCGCGAAATTAGTTTCGAGATTATTATTTACGGAACCGATGCGATATCTCGCGCGCAAAGGGATCACAGTGCCGAAATGGCGGAGACTTTAATTATTTCGTAAATTATATTTGGAAGCAAATAATTAGGAGAAGAACTTTGTTTCCGCGATACAATTTTGCTTTTACCTGGTCTGCCCGGTTCACCTCTGTCTCCCTGTCTTCCGGGTAAACCGATGCCGTCGTTGCCAGAAGGACCTACCATAAAAGGCAATAACAATTACTATGCAGCCATCTCCAAATCTACGTAATAATCTCTCGTTGGTGTCCATGTAAATAATCTTTTAGCGATGTAACGTAAATTTAACCTGGTAGACCGGTTGGACCAGGCGGGCCTTCCAGACCGATCCCCTCGAGACCTCTATCCCCCTTTTCCCCACGTTCGCCAGGTGGCCCCTGCGGACCGACGGGACCCTGCGAACCCGGTAAACCGACGAATCCACGTTCCCCCGGTAAACCAGGCGGTCCCGGGTCGCCTAAACGGTCGGGAAGCTGAATTAATTGTGATCAAGAAGTGGGCATCACGCAAACAAACGTGTAAAGTATCATATGAATTGCGCTATGAATTAATTTTCTCGTTAATAGTCTCGTACAGCGTTTTTTTTTAATAGTTCGATAAGATTGCCGTTAGGACAATACTGAGAAGATAAAGAATATTGATAAAGACTGAAGACATAATCGAAGATGGAGATTTGATGGTAAAGCGGGTGCTGCCTTGAATAGAAAGATATGTCCGCTTTAATGCATTAAAAAAGCGTCACGTCCGATGATGAGAAGCTAATGGAATTACACGACTAATCTGATTTTCTGCATGCGCACGACAAAAGCGTCCATTAGTCCAAACCGGCTATTTTCCAGACATTTCAGAGAGTTGCTTCGGCTCCGAGCGATAGGTACCTGGGATGCCCCGCTTCCCGGCTCGACCGGGCCGGCCGTGTCGAGCCGGTCCCGGTAATCCGGGTAGCCCTCGTAGACCCTCTGTTAGTTCTTTCAGTCTCTCTGCGACACATGCCAATATACCATTATCGTTAGGGGCGTAACCGCGACGCCGGGACATTAATCCCGAATCACGCCGTTCGATATTGTTAAGTGCCACGTGTATCACGACGAATCACGCCATTCGCACATGTTATGGTTCTAGGGACGATGACACTTCAAGCGTTTAATGGCGATGCTACTACAACGATGCTCGGTTGTCGCTTGCCGAGCGTCTCTTGCGTTAGGATTTGGTTCTACGTCCAAGATTTCTCTATAAACTAATAAGAAAACCCACGTAGTAGCAGATGATCTCAAACGCGTTTCAATATTCGTGCCGAGCGCAAGAAAAAAAGCGCAGGGGATTGGTGATTCTGACTCGATGGGTGTACCTGGACGACCTTGGGGACCAGGTGATCCAGGACGGCCCGGGCGACCTCGACCAGGCGGGCCAGGCGAGCCTTGCATTAGTGCTGTCATTTCGGTCATCTGTTCTGTATGCATACGGGTAATAAGAAGGAAAAAACTCACATAACAATTCAAACGTGTTCCTGTGCGACGACATCGCGCGTTTTCCATTCACGCGCGGTTTCTTAATAAACCGTCGCGCCAAACTTTCATCAAAGTTAACTGGAGTTTAATGTACTTGAGTAGTTTAATTTATATCTCTACAGCGAGTCGACTTCCAAAGGAAATTGATTAAATTATAATAGAATGTCAATTAAATTTAACGTTTACGGCAACAGCCCGTTGCCGTGAAAATCACCTCTCAGAACACCGGCGCAAATATCACGAATTTCCGCCTCGCTCATGCTACGGCCCGGCAAACCTTGAAGTCCGGGCAATCCCGTTTGACCTCTGTTCCCGGAGGGACCTTGCAATCCAGGCGCTCCGTCCTTACCGGGGGGTCCCACTTGACCTTCCGGTCCTCGTTCTCCAGGCGCTCCTCTTTCACTTGGCTAATCGTTCATTTAGAAATTTAAGACTTACTGTTTACAGTTAATTAAAATTTTCGGGATTTTTCGTACTAAACAAGATGCTTACTATGCCCGGGGGACCTGGTGGACCTCTGGGGCCTTGAAGACCGGGGCTGCTAAAACTAGCAAAGCTACTGTTTGCAGCTGGGAAACCCGGAGCGCCTGGAGGCCCCGGTGGTCCTATCGATCCTGGGAGACCAGGTAGACCGGGCCTCCCTTCCAATCCTGGTATGCCTGATACGCCTGGTGAACCTACTGAGCCCTAAATGTATCAATTAATTGATATGATAATTCATATCGTTCGAAAGTGCACAGGTTGATATTATTCGAATTATGGAATTGGTAGACCACTCAATGTTACAATAGAGATTTCGTTTACTTTCTTACCGGACTTCCTGGTAATCCGCGAGGTCCAACAGGACCTTGAACGCCTTCCTGGCCTTTGTCACCCTTCTGGCTTGGTTTCCCATTGAGTCCTGGCGGTCCTGGTTTTCCTACAAGTCCATCTAAACCTCGTGGTCCTGGAGACCCCGGTTCCCCGCGTGGTCCTGGAGATCCCTTATTGCAAGCATCAATGAATATCACGAAAAAGTGCATTATTTTATGTAACAAAATTATAACAATGTAATTGCGTGTGAATTCAAAGTAGTAAAATACCTGCGGTCCCGGCAATCCTGGGTATCCATCCTTTCCTGGAACTCCAGATAATCCTGGAGGGCCCATCGGTCCGATTTCTCCTTTTTCACCTGGGAGACCATCATCACCGGAAGGTCCCTCGGGGCCAGGTAATCCCGGTGTGACGCTATTATCCGTAAATCCCGGTGTGCCTTGAAGGATAACAAATATTTTAATTACATCGAGGAGAAAAGAATTATATCATTAGTTTATTAACATAAAAAATTTTAATTAATACACGCGTACCATCTCGACCACGTTCTCCGATTTCGCCCCTTGGGCCCGTTTGACCTGGCGGACCAGGAGGACCTGGCAATCCTGGTGATCCTGGTGGGCCTGATGGCCCTGAAGGCCCTATTATACCACGAGGACCCTGTGGTCCTGGAATGCTAGAAATGTTTGTAGATAGAGTGTTTCTAGGTCCGGGGCGGCCAGGAGGTCCTGGAAGACCAGGAAGACCTGGTGCGCCGTCACGACCGCGAGATCCGTCTAATCCTGGGTATCCCCTGTCTCCAGGCTCGCCTAAAATTGATAAATTATATTTTATATTTGATTCGGATCGTACTGTCATAAAGCATTTATGTTTAAATAAGTAATTTTTGCCCATCTCTAATTATCATCCGAATTAATGCATCGTACTGTAGGGTGTTACAGCGACACACAGGTCAGTATGACGGGTTGCCTATTCACGAAGGCGCGCAAGTCGTCCACAAAGCTGCGTTATGAATTCCACACCTGTGCACTAGGACCGGTATTCATAGTCAGATCTTACATTCAAGACCGTCTTGAATTTATCCAAAGATGCTGTATGAAACATTTCACTGGCTACGGAGTATCTAAAGATGATCTTAAGACGGACTTGAATATAAGATCTGATTATGAATACCGGCCTAGGAGTCACTAGGAGACCTAGGAATTAAATGATAGGAGCCGAATCTTCAAGAATTGATCCAGAAAACTTTCCTGAATGTGTTTGAGCGTGCATGTTGTGTTTGCCCGCAGACAAACTCTCTCTCTCTCTCTCGTATAGATTAGAGATTGTTATATATATTTGCAACCTTTGCAAATTCAAATTTTATACCACTGATCTTATACACATTTAAAAGTATTCTTTATGTACTTGGGGTATACCTTTCTTTAAAAAAAACATTTTTTTCAGTGATCTGTATTGCGCAATTAATTTTGACTCTTGAGCTACTTATAACCGCATAATTGTGAATTACTTATAGATGAACACATATTACTATAGATTGCGATAAATTGATTTACAATGACTGCGAATGAACGCATCTGGGTCAACGATACGTGGAATATCATGGCGCTGCCTGGATCGTTTAAGAGTGGTATTTGAATCGTGACTTTTTATAGTATACAATGTTAATAAAAAGACCATAGATGCGAGATGTGTTCGGACATTTGAGTGCAAATTAATATCGATGTAGATCGCTGTCTCATCCTGTTACGATACATTTGATGATAAATCTTGATATAACGATTTTTAACTCGGTATACGTACTCGCATCCTTAAAAATTATTCATATTTTCTATCTAGCAAAAGTACATAAAGTCATTGCAATCGTCCCGGCATAGTCGAGATTAGACGGTAAATTGATTTAGACATTACGATGCATTAATCGGCCATCCGTTTCGTAATTTTCTCTCGCTCTATCGCCAACGCAGAGTAACGCAATTATACATCTCGACTCGATTTCTAACGAGATCGAATTACGTCGTCGGACGCGCGTTTGATGCTCTACGAGCGGATTTAATCTATCTTAATTGAGTAGTTTATCTGATGTTCTCTTTCCAAGGAAACGTACTGTACCTTTTTCACCCGGCTGTCCTTGAATACCATTATCTCCCCGTTCACCTTTGACCCCTTTCTCGCCCTTGTATCCTGCCGATCCAAGGGGATAAGCAAAATCACTCGTATTCCCTGGTGGACCCGGAAATCCTCGAGGACCCTGATCTCCTTTCAGACCCGGAAATCCCATATCGCCCTATCAAAGATTCATTATTTTATTGCTATTTGCTTTAAGAACAAGTTTCCTAGCTATTTATCATATCCATTTTAAAAGAGCAGCGCTTACTCTTTCACCCTTTCGTCCTGGTAATCCTAGTACACCTGGTGGTCCCGCGGGTCCGACTGATCCTTTGAAACCTTGCAAACCTGGAAAACCTCTGGCACCAGTGTTACCTGAGGCTCCCTGATAATATACATCTCTTACATTCCTTTCTTTGCATACATGCAGCCTATGTTTCGTAAATGCAAATATTATTGAATAGTTTACATATCATTTTTAGAAGAAACGTGGAAAACCTACTGTTCTTCCTTGTTCCCCCGGCAGGCCTGGAAGCCCAGACGAGCCTGACGCACCAATTGGTCCCGGTGCTCCGGGTGGTCCAGGCAGACCGGGCAATCCCTGATACGATTTTCTTTATCAACGATCTCTCGGAAATTATTAAGAAAATAGAAAAAAAATCATGCAATTTGAACTATCGTAACATTTAACAAGTGGAAAATGTATTAAGTTTATTCGTTTAGTGATTACGATTAATAGAATTGATCGTAACTGAATTTTATTGGTGCTTCGCTTTAATAAAAGTGTGCACATGTTTATTAAATATAATAGGAGAGGACTTACATTTGTACCGTTAAATCCACGTGGTCCTTGCGGACAGATTGTGTCGCAGCTGGACTTTCTTTCAAGCGGAGCGGCTACGGTCTTCTACGATCACGCACATTACACTAATCAGATCTCGCGAATCTGTTAAATCTTGCCGAAATATGTGGATCTTACCGGTAGCTCCTCGCACGTTTCCCTCTCGTGTCTCGTTGGGTCGCAGTTTAAAACCATCCATTGCACATCAATCTGAAGATAGTGCAAGTAAACATTTTTATAATTTTAGAATATGTCATATCTGACGTTTTATTAAATGCATGCCTTTTTATATTTTTCTCTCATACGAACAACGATATTTCTATTCGTTAGAATTCTAACGTTATTGCGCGTGCACTCTGGATGTGAGTCAAAGAGTCTAATATTAAATTCGACTCGTCCTATTGACGGTTTCAGGCCGTGTGAAGCGGTGGTTAATTAAGTAGCGGGCCAGTTAATTGTGACGGTCGACACATAACTTCATCTCTGGAAGCTGTGCATTCCTCGCGGTAACGTAAGAGCGATGCGATTCGTGAATATTAGATGTGCACCTATACGCAAAAACTTGTATAGACAGTTGAAGCGAAATTCGTTAAAGCTTCTTCGATCAAATGGAATCAGACTGTAGATTAAGTAGCGCGACAATCAAGCTTGGAATGCAAATCTGATTGATATTGTAACGGGGCCTTACCGGTACAGTGATCTTACTATTGCTCATTTTGGCTATCGATATGGTCCCGTCAACTTTAATCGGCCCACGTGGTTTTAGACCTTCCACGCCGACGAATTCGCAGTCGACGTTAAGAACCAGCTTATCCTTGAAAACCCCGAAGTTTACCTTGTGCCAGCCTCTGTCGAATACCTATTTCATAAGAAATCGTGTACGTATGTTTTTCAACATTATGATCCAATGTTGCAAGCTGCAATTAATCAAGTCCTTTTCTTAGTATACATATCTTAGACAGGATAACGATGCAGGAAGGGTGATAAATGAGTTTTAAATAAGGCTCATTACCGAGTGGTCTCAAAGTTTCATAGTTATCGCATAAATCTGTGCTGTTTCAAAACGCGTTAAGTAATCCCCATCGATCAAAAGATCCCGAGCGCGTCGTGACGTTCTCTTATCGCGGGTATCGTTGATTGCATAGCGCAAGACTCGTTTTTCTATCACGCGAGCGGTAGAATTTCTAACGTCGGGGCTCTTGAAAGTGACATTTGCGTACGAGGCGACGACCCAACGTGACTTACATCTGTTACGTCTGCCTTGTGTGATGGCATGACGATATAATTCACGCGCCTACTTTCGCGCGGCACGCATCTCGTGCGATAGCTTATGCTTACGTAATAATTTCGTGAGCCGAAACACTCGTGCATAATAATTGATCGGCAAAATCGTTTTAACAACCATGACTCCGGCTCTCTCTCTCTCTCTCTCTACCAAATACCAAAAGTAGGTAAACCAAAGACCGCTAGCGAGTATAGACCAATTAATATCCTGCTGATCTACGAAAAAA